CGATCAGCCTTGGCTTCAATGTACCTAGACCAATTTATCATATAAAAGTGAAAACAAGAAACACCATTGTGAAAGACAAGCTAACATGGTTTCATCTTCTCTGTAGTTGATGACAGCCCTCTTCTGGCCTTCTTGTCCAGCTTCTTGGAACTCGAAATACTTCTCAAAAACAGAAGCGAAGCAGTTCCTTTTCAAGGCAGACGCTTTTTCAACTGAACAAATCGATAAACGGGATCGAATCAAAATAAAAACGACGACTTGTCACCATGAAATTCACACAAAACCAGTATTACGGAAAGAAACAATATGGTAGTAAACTGTACTTACTAAGATTACTGTGGTCAGCAGGAAGATTGGTGAGATCGAAAATCAAAGACACATTGTAGCCAGGTTCTGGAGTAGTAAGATATGAACCGTATTCCCGGCGAAGAAGCTGCAACATGGAAAAGCTTGTGTCAAGGATCAGTCGAACATAACATATATGAAAAGAAAGCATACTCACAGCATCTGTACCGTGCTCCTGGAGTTCTTTGAAGAACTTCAGTGAGATGCTCAACTGAAAACAAGTCAAATAAGGTATGGTAAGAGCTGCAACATTTAACAAGGTAGAATCATATTAGCTATTCAAATGCACTTCTAGAAATCGATACTCAAAAAGTGAAAAATTAAACTTATTCGAACACCGAGCCGCTTTTTCACAGGGATAAGTGTGAAGCCCAAGAAAGTGGGTCTTTCAGAACTTAAGGAACTTCGCCCAGAACAATTCTATCTCACAATGAATTAAACTAATACATTCGATGGAAGAAGTTCTGAGGGTGGGTGTATGGGAGATGCAGACGTAGTTTCGGTGATTCAGAGGGGAATAAAAAGCAGAGAAAACCTACCGGAATTGCTCCATATAGAACCCCATGCTGAACCGTACATAAAGCAAAGAAAGAGTGTGGTCGGAAGAGTAACCCTTTGTTGGTGTCGACTACTTCCCTTCTCTTCACATTCTAATAAATGGAGAGAACTGGTGAAGGAACAACTGCACTATAAGACAGCAATTAAATATGAAAATTGGGCGTTGCCGTCGCCGGTGGGCGGGGCCTTGGCTCGTAGCGAGCGGGTCGCGCTTTCTCCGCCTATTTTTGTGCTGCGAAGAGGATCCTCCATGCTGGCGGACAGAATTACATGTCCAAGGGCGTCTGAACATGGAATGAACGCTAGGGTATCTTTACCAGATGACGTACTGAACAATACACTACAGCTACATCAGCGCCTAACATCGCAGTTTTGATATTGGCAGGTAATAAATAGCATAGTGGAAGAAACGATGTTACAATTCAATAGCTGTCGAGAGTTCACAGCTGGACGGATGGCTTTTGGCTGAGAAAAACACAAGATAAAATGGAGGATTCTTGGAAGAACGTACACGAATTTTGGTTTTATCACCATCCGGGTTTGAAGCATGGTAGACGACACCATCAAAATCGGCAAATTTAGCGTCAACGTTGTCGGGCTTTCCACTTAAAGATTGAAATACATTGTTATTCAGTGGAGAAGGAAAAAGACTAGTCCTAGCTTCCACTCCTCAAGTCAACGCAAAGTGTCTCGATTTCAATAGTCCAGCAACAACAAATACCAAACAAATCATACCCTTCTTTTGCGTTAGTGAACTTCAAATCCAACAACTCGCTAATAATCCTATTGTTCTGCTCAAGTAAGATCATATTGAGCGTTCAATACCTGAATTATACTTTCAAAAGAACCACAACCGTATAAGGCAAATCAGAAGTTGAGGAAAAACCACGACTTTATGGAGTTGACAGGAATTTCTGAACGCTCCACGGATTAGTAAGCCAGTGACGTCAGCCGTATTTGTGCATTTTCACGTGTGTGCACTCGTCACGCCTAATTTTCCTATTCGAATTTTATTTTCTTTCTCTTAAGTTGGGTGGTTATTCGTAAATTTCTCGAAGTATCGGTAGAACCAGTGCTGCTAGAGGCAGGTGAATCGTGCAAATAGTTTTGTTTACTAGGCAGTGTTTTTTAAATGTTTTTGATTTCAGAATGCCAGAATACCATCCTGGCCATGGTCACAGAGAACGAGGAGATGCTGGTGATCCACGGAGTCGTTTCAAATTTATGCGACCAGGTTGGAGTCTTTTGAAGAGCATTTGAGGATGACTATGAGAGGGAGATGTGGGGTTCCGCCGCCATAACGGCGGAGGTCCACCCTTTGAAGAACTTGATCTGCGACCATTTGCTCGTTTTCTGGTCCATTATGAGACCATTCAACCCTCTGTACCGCTAGTATTGTTCTCTTGTTTTTTCGGCGCTAGTCCAACTCCAAGGAAGGCGTTCAGACGACTCATTGAGCAACATTGGGATTGTCGTGACAGGGTGTGGATTTTTCGCAAACCTATGATGGATGTGTTTTGGGTGGGCGAGTCAACTCCTCTGCGCAGAAGGGCTTGCGGTGATCCCTCCTTAGCCGACTTACCCCTGTTCTCCTCTGTTTTATGCAAACCAGTCAACGAGCAGATAGCGCACAAGGGCCTCGAAAAGATAGATCCCCACCGGTATGCGAGGGAGAGTGGGCATCCGGACATCTCCTATTCACTCCTTTTTTGAGGGCTATTAGGTAGGCCGTGCGATGGCTACCTTAGGCTGCGACAATGAGTTTTTACGGTCTCATTTCCAGATGACCGACCCGATAAAGTACGTACTGGTCCATTGGTGTTTGAAGATCGTTTGACAGAGCCATCGGGATCTACTGATCCTCAAGAAGTGTTGACTGTATATAATAATCCTTATGCCTCATTGAACATGAAGCAACAACGAGCTCGGCTTCCAATTTATAAGGTGAGGTTTTGATAGATTATACTTGCCGTGCTATCATTTGGTAGCCTGTAGAGCGAAAAAGGTCGTCGCCACAGAGTCGCATAGCCCCTCTT